ATTGACAGCCATGTATAGTAAATTGAAATTTTGCTGTAAAAAGATGGGGTCAACGTGCTTGTTTTTTTGCAAGTTGCCCACGAAATGTCCAAAGCTGGAACAACCGTCAAAAAATATTGTCATAGAACAGAAACTATGAATATTACCAAAACCTATTGCGCTTTTGTTGGTCAGGGCTATATTTTTTCTGTAAAGTGACTTCAAATTGCTCGATCCTGAAAGTAATGTAAAAAAATGGACCTTTTTTTACGCCATCCCCTACTTCTCTTTCGCTCAAAATGCAGCGTTTAACGTCATTCTTTATCTCCTACTATCTAGAATTTTCATCCTTAAAATATCTTTTTCTTGTACCCATAACAGGTAAATCACACTTAATAATAAAAAGTGGTCATTTTGCTCAAAGGGACTGACGCGTGTGTTTTAAGCCCAACCCCATTTAAGCCGGGAGAGTTATTAGAACAGCTATTAAAATGATTTGGACTATATAGGGAGCCTTTTTTACCTTTTTTTCAGGCGACTGGTGAAAATCACCCCCACCATTAAATGTCGCACTGTTATAAGCAATACTAGTAATGCGCAGTGCAAAACAATAGAATTGCCTTAAATGATGATCGATAGAAAGCTTCTCCCGACACGAGTTCGGTGCAAAGCAAATGTCCAGTTTTCGTGCATCTCCGCAGTAACATCTCTTGCTGTTCAAGAATTTTTAGTTAAATCAGTGTATTTCCACGGTAACACTTCTTTTCATAAAAGTATTTTTATTTGGAGGTTATCGACAGATATCGATCAGAGACGTGTTTGTGTTGAGAAGCACTCAGGGATACTAAACTGCCAGGTCTTCTGCCTGAGCGCTTCTACAATATGAATCTGATCAAATGACATCATCACTCACTGAAATGAGAAAATGATTTCCAACTAATTTGACTCTCTTTGTTATTCTGTTGAAAGAAAGAGTTACGTTAGCCGTTTGTGGCATTTGCTACGGTAAATATTTGTAGTTAAGTTGTTGTTAGCGCTCTAGTCGATTATCTTAGTAAGTGTTTTTGGCACTCTTAGTTTTAGCAGGAGCCCATACCCTGGTTTTAGCCTATAAGTTTAACTGATGAACGGTAGAAAGTTTCTTCTGATATGAATTCGGTGCAAAGCAAATGTCACATTTTCGTGCATCTCCGCAGTAACACCTCTAGCTGTACAGGCATTTTCAGCTAAATGAGTATATTTCCAAGGCAACACTTTTTTTCATAGAAGTATATTTTGATTGGGAATTTCGACAAATATCAAAGCCGTGTCTCTGTTGAGATTGTCAACCAGTTTGACATTTTCAGCTCAATTTGACCCTCTATCGGTATTTCGCAGGAAATGACTTCTTTATTCATTTTAATTGTTTTTTCTTTTTTTCTTGACTTTTCAACCAAAATCGTGTCACTGAAATTAACTCTTAATTTGACTTGGGGAGGAAACACCTATTGTTCTAAATTATTTCCTAAAAAGTGTATTGCATTTTTAATTCGCCCTCCCCTGAGTTTTCTGATCACGTCCTTAGTTAAAATATGGAAAAGTATTAGCCAATCATTTTTCGACAAGAAGCTTCATACCTCTTCGAAATCGCCAACAAGGCAGGATTTTCAAAATGTGATTTTAGTACCTTCTTCTTTGTTATTATGAAAAGTTTGTATATAATATGATACCTTGTAGTTTTTATATTGCTCTGCTTGTTTGGTGTTGGCCAGAAACCCTAAGTTTAACGATGAAAACCTCGACAGAAAAACAATTTTGACAAAGTAATTATCTCGAAGGTTTCATAATAATTAACCTGTTTTAACCAATCGGAGAAGACTTACGTCAGCATTAGTTTGCACTAAGCAGCTGGTTTTCTGACTGATATAAAAATGGGTGTAGTACTGATTTAATCGACAATTGTGACAACACAAGAGACTATTCCCAGGAAATAACGTTATCAGGTGAGTAAAGTATAATACAAGCAGTTGTCTCTGTTGTAGGTTGAGCTAGTCCCCATCATAAAGCCCCATTTAACAATATCCTCTCAAGTTTATCCGGGAAGAGCTCCTTGCATTTTTGTAACATGAGTGCTTTTAGGTCATATAACACGTTTACCATTTGAGACACCTAGAAAAATGTATTTTAAAAGGCAGTTGCTGTATTTCATCTATATTTTATCCAAGGCGGAAGTTCTTGCATTTCAGCATGCCTCAGCATTTCTACGATTATACATAACACATTTAGCATTTCTCGTTGGCACCGCGACCACTTTTTGGGGCAAAAAGTGCGGGGTTTAGAAATATACTAAGATTTGAAGTCTGTAGGAAATTATAACACATGATGCTAGAAGAGAAAAAGTTGAGTAAGTTGAGTCTGTCATCATTGTTTGTTGTCATTAGTTATTGTCTTTACCTGTTTATTTGGTTCCAGTCTTCTTCTAGATGTTTAAATTTTACTGTAATCTTTTTAACCGTTAATTCTGAAGATGTATGTTGTTTTGATGAAACGTCAAGTCTTTAAAATCTTAGGTTTTAATTGCAACATGCGTTGTTTCATCATGTTTGTTACCACCGTTGGTGTTTTATTTTTACTGAAGTTGAAATGGCCGAAGAATAAGAGTTTTTATGACTCTTGTTGTTTTATTCTGGCTAAACCCAGGTGTTGTTTTATTAAAATTTTAACTAGTGCTTCAAAAGGGTTCAATTGCTTGGATAAACGATAAACCATTCCGTGAAAAGTAAAAATTCAGGATAGCGGTACTATTTGCAAAAAAGTTTACTAAGAGGGGGTATTTTAATTTGTTTTTAGCGCAGGTGTACGGTCCACTGGCGGGACGTCGTTTCACCAAGATTCGTTTTTAATATCCTGGATTAAAAATGTTTGGATCAAAGGCATTCTTGACGGCGCTTGTTTTGCTGCATGTTGTTCAGTTTACCGAAGGAAAAACTTGGTGGAAGCGCTATGCTGGCTATTGTAATGCAGCATCTAGCAACTGTGGTGCTGGGTGTAACGTTGATTCGGATTGCCCAGGCGGTGCGTGTTGGGCAGACATGGACGACTGCAGCACATCAGGCTATTGCAATGCGGCATCTAGCAACTGTGGTGCCGGATGCAATATACAAAGTGATTGTCCAGGTGGCGATTGCTGGGCCAACCATGACGACTGCGGCACATCATCAGGACATTGTAATGCAGCATCTAGCAACTGTGGTGCCGGGTGTAGCACTGACGGGGAGTGTCCAGGTGGTGCGTGTTGGGCCAACCATGACGACTGCGGCACATCATCAGGATATTGTAATGCAGCATCTACCAACTGTGGTGCCGGGTGTAGCACTGACGGAGAGTGTCCAGGTGGTGCGTGTTGGGCAAACCATGACGACTGCGGCACAACATCAGGCTATTGTAATGCAGCATCTAGCAACTGTGGTGCCGGGTGTAATACAGCAAATGATTGTCCGGGTGGTGATTGCTGGGAAAACATGGACGACTGCGGCGGCACCCCCACAGGAGATCATATTGTCGGAACATACCTCGGGATGTTGCCGGGAGGAATATCTGCTCCTCCACTGTCCTCTGTACCGAGCGAGGTGAATTACATGTTACTGGGTTTTGCTGAAGATCCATCACAAACGGGCAATTTTGAGGCATTTTCTATGTGGGTAAGCATGGGTATTACCTACGATAGCATTACTAGCGACAAAGCGGCGAATCCAGGCAGAAAGTATATGATCTCCATTGGTGGATCAGCAGACAGTGGAGGAACTTTCGGTATTGCCGGCGGTATGAGCGTCTCTCAGTGGGTAGACAATGCAGATAATTCTATTTCCAGTATAGTAAACAGTTATAATGCGGATGGCGTCGATATCCAGGTGAGTATTTTTCAGTCATTTTGTTTATTTTTTATTGCACAGTCACCCTGCTGGCAGAGCCTTTCTTTTGCTTGCATGTTCGAGTTTGCCCTTCTCGTGAGACTCTTGATGAATGCGCGCGGCATGTTGCTTGAATATAGTTTCCAACCCAGGCCTAATAATCATGTGATGCCAGAGCGGGCTCATTTTTGAACATGGTTTTATCAATAAACGGATACTCGCACTCCAAAAACAACCAGTTTGACGAGTCAACCTGCTCGTATGTACCCGACACGAATTAACAGGCTTTTTGTTGTTTAGAAACCTTGATTCTTGCTCAAAAGCTACTCTTGACTGTATTTAAACAAGGTAACCTGCTCGTGATTACTGACGTAAAAAAAGACCACACGAGCAACCAAATTCGGCAAGGAACTCAGTGTCAAGTAAAACTTGCTCGTAGTAAGGAGTTTTAAGTTTGTCTTTTCTATCTTAGTTTGAAGGCGGAACATCAGACCCCGATTTCTCCACGGCAATCCCACAGCTTGTACAACGTTTGAAAGCCCGAGGCTTTCTAGTTTCAGTCGGACCTTTCTACGGTGGAACATGGAATGACTACATCAGCCTGCCGTTGAACGACGTCGACTATGTATTTTGTCAGTTCTATGCCAAAAACTTGCAGTCAGTGGATAGCGTGGTGAGCGACATAACAAGTGCGGCAAACGATCTGGGTAGTTGGAGCAAGCTTATCGCCGGGTTTAACTCCAACAACAGAAACCCTAACCCCTCCACATCATTGCAAGCCGTCTATCAACTCAAAAGCTCTCTCAAGGGAACATTCACATGGACTGCTGAAGATTCTCAGTCTAACTCGCCTCCATATTGCATTGAGAAAAACTCCGCAAACATTTTGAACAACAACCAGCAGCCTGGGTCATGTAATTGGTAAAGAAACAGTGAACCCACGCGGCTTTGCAAAAGAGATGGCACATGAATCAAAACATTTATTTGGACACGCTGAGAGTTAAAGCGCGGTAGTTTTAGGGGTTAAGGTTAGAGTTAAGGTTAGGGTTAGGGTTGGGGTGTCATTTGCAAACACGCTAAGAATTCCATTTAGTGAACTTTATTTCATTTGCTTATTAATAATGATTTATTGCTTTGTTTATTGGACCCCCGAGGCCAGTATATTTCGGCTAGTTCGGTTTATGCCGCGGTCCAGGCACAAAAACAAATATAAAATTTCAAAAATCAGCAAGCACATACAAAATTTTAAACAAAACCAAAAACATAAGTTTTTCAGTTTTATTCCCTGAGTATTGGTTCTTCTCGTATACATTTGGCCTTTCCCTTCTACAGTCAGCTGTGAAAAGAGAATATGTTGTTCCTGAGTTATTTTGCTTTTGCTGATAAAAATATGAAAAGCCAATGTAGAGATCATTTATTCTTTACTCTTAACTTCTGCAAACAGTAAACAACTCAGTTCAACTCGTGGATATTTACTAGGCGTAAAACTTTTTCTCAAGTCATAACTGTAGTAGGTTTAAACCTTCAAGGTGTAATCAGCCTGTGCATGTGAGAAGCCGTTATCCACCTGTGTAACTTATTATTTCAAAGCAAGTTTAGTTTCCACCAACAATCTTTCAAGAATGATTGCTGTATTCTGAAATCTGACTCGTTCAATTGCATGTTATCTGTATTGCTTGGCTAGATCAGGCTTAAAATCATGTTCTTGTGAAATTTTCTTTGGTTATCTCTTGTCTTACACGCGGTGTAGTCTTGGATTAAACCTCTACATTGGAGAAAAGTTCTGTGTACACTATTTGTTGTGTCAGGGGTGTACAAAAGATCTGAGGGTTGTCCAATACTCAGACAAATTTCTGGAAGGCATTGTAATGTATTGTATTTTCTTCACATTACAATCCTATACAAAAGCACAACAACAGGGAACGAATCAACAATGAATAAATTTGCCGGAGTATTGGTCAGGAAAATTTAAGAGATTCCGACCTTCACAGAGCCAGCCAGTGCTCCATCAGGATAAAGACCTTTTCAAGATAAGTTTTTAGAGGTTTTCTTCGTTTAGTCATTTGTGAAAACAAAACCTGTTTTCACACCCCTTTTTTTCTGATATTTTTGCAATTCTTTGTTATATTACGCTTTTGTTACAATTTTGTTATGTTAAAGGCCTAGGGTAGCTAATCGAACAAAACCGAACCAAAAATCAGTCGAACTTTATCGAGCCCAATCGGTCGGATTGTTGTTCGATTGGTTCGGTAGTCGAACATAATCGAACTGGAACTTTGCGGTGTTTGACTACTGAACTCAATCAAACCAATCGAACTCAATCGTCGCGACTAGTTCTATTTAATGTTCCGCAAAAACAAAACGCATCCAGTTGTCAGTTATCTTTAGAGCTGGACCGCTATCTACCCTTTTCTTCTTAATAACAAACTTTTCGCCAACACCGAAGGAAAAAGAGCACTCGTGGTAGCAATTAACTATCTTCTCCAGAATTATTAATTTCGCGTTTTCCGCCATCTGACGTAAACTTTGCATTTCTCCTTACCTCTAGTTGGAAACATAATATCAACAAACACACAAACAAAAGAAATATAATCTTACCTTCTAATGAAAGAAAAATGAGAGGTATGCAGCAAAATGAATACTAGTAGGTCCAATAAGACTGATATTCTGTAAAACATCCTGACCTAGTGTAAAGTTCTCTGAAAATCAATTAAATTTAATCGTAGATGTTCTTGAACGTTCTTAATTAAAACAGCATAACATGAGTTCAACAAACAATGTCTGTAGCCACATTTCTTAAACTGGTCTCCTGCGAAGTTTGGGCACACGCGCGGACCTCCTCAGTGTGGGTTCAGCTTGAGCACTTCTACTTGAGTTGGTGTCCACCTATACTGGGTCTGCACTCGAGTTGATGTCAACTGATACTTGGTCTGCACTTAAGTGGGTGTAAATTCACACTGGGTCTGCACTTGAGTTTGTGTCAACTGATCCTGGGTCTGCACTTGAGTTGATGTCAGGTGATACTGGGTCTGCACTTAAGGTGTCAACTGATACTGGGTCTGCTCTTGAGTTGATGTCAACTGATACTTGGTCTGAACTTAAGTGGGTGTAAACTCACACTGGGTCTGCACTTGAGTTTGTGTCAACTGATCCTGGGTCTGCACTCAAGTTGATGTCAACTGATACTTGGTCTGCACTTAAATGGGTGTAAATTCACACTGGGTCTGCACTTGAGTTTGTGTCAACTGATACTGGGTCTGCACTCAAGTTGATGTCAACTGATACTTGGTCTGCACTTAAGTGGGTGTAAATTCACACTGGGTCTGCACTTGAGTTTGTGTCAACTGATCCTGGGTCTGCACACGAGCTGATGTCAACTGATATTGGGTCTGCACTTGAGTTAGTGTCAACTGACACTGGCTCTGCACTCCAGTTGATGTCAACTGATACTGGGTCTGCACTTGAGGTGTTGGCAAGTGACATTGGGCCTGCAATTGGGTTGGTGTCAACTGATACTAGGTCTGCACTTGAGTTGGTGTTGATACTGGGTCTGCACTTGAGCTGGTGTCTACTGATACTGGGTCTGCATTTGAGTTGGTGTCAACTGATACTGGTTCTGCACTTGAGTTGGTGTCAGGTGATACTGGGTCTGCACTTGAGCTGATGTCAACTGATACTGGGTCTACACTTGGGTTGGTATCAACTGATACTGGGTCTGCACTTGAGCTGATGTCAACTGATACTGGGTCTGCACTTGAGTTGGTGTCAACTGATACTAGGTCTGCACTTGAGTTGGTGTCAGGTGATACTGGGTCTGCAATAATAGAGTTGGCGTCAACTGATACTGGGTCTGCACTTGAGCTGATGTCAACTGATACTGGGTCTGCACTTGAGTTGGTGTCAACTGATACTGGGTCTGCACTTGAGTTGGTGTCAACTGATACTGGGTCTGCACTTGAGTTGGTGTCAAGTGATACTGGGTCTGCACTTGAGTTGGTGTCAACTGATACTGGATCTGCATGGTCTTGGTCAAGCTTCTTAAAGTGGGAAGAATTACGAGTCACCTTCCGATCACCTCCTTCAGCTTTCAGCACTGACTGAGGTCAGTTGGTTGTTTTTGCTAACACGGTATCTCCAACCTGTATGTCAGAATAGTATTCATCTAGAGTTTCTGTTGCGCATCAAGCTCACGCATTAGTGCTGGTTTCAAACCTGTTTCGCATGGAAAAGCAACAGAGTAGGGCAGGGCTGGTCTTCCAAAGAGGGCGGTGAAAGGACCAACACCAGTAGTACAATGAGGAGTTGCTCGATAGTTTCGTAGGGACTGGTACACCTGTTCTCTCCAGTTAGATGTGCAGATCGGAGCACCTTCCCAAATGTTTTCATGAAGCGTTCCACTTCGCCATTTGCTTCTGGCCATGGAGGAGTAACTTTACAGAGTTTGAAACCAAGATAATTTGCAAAATTGGCGAATTCGTGACATGAAAGGAAGGACCGTTATCAGCCTTGACAACTTGAGGCACACCATAAGCGGCAAATATGCGATCTAACTTTGGAAGGACTGCTTTCGCAAAAGTCAAATGCACAATCTCAACTTAGGGAATCTTGAGTAATCATCAATCACTACTATGCCTGGGAATGGATCGGGATGCGGAGAAGCTATGTGCGGAGTGTTATGGGTGCCAACTTGTGACCCCTACCGGTGAAACCCTCTCCTATGCCTTAGCGACCATGGGAAGATTTAGCTCTGGATATATTGGGTCCACTTCCGTCAGGAGAGAATCTGTTAGTCCTGGTGGATTATCACAGCAGGTGGATAGAGGTGGACGTTGTCAGGGCAACCACAAGCAAGATAATTATTCAGCGCCTGGATGCTCAGTTTGCGAGATATGGAATACCCAAGAGTTTGCGGACTGACGATGGCCCAAATTTAGTATCCAACGAGATTGAGGATTATCTCAAAGAAATGGGAGTTGAGCACTGACATACAACCCCTCTGTGGCCAAGGGTTAATGGCGAAGTAGAAAGGCAGAATAGGACACTATTGAAAGCTACCAGAGCGGCCCACGCGGAGGGGAGAATTGGAGGGAAGAATTAAACAAGTTCCTGCTTGCATACAGGTCCTCGCCCCATTCAACAACGGGGAAGAGTCCAGCCGTGTTGCTGTTTAGAAGAGTGTTAAACACTAAAACGCCTGAGCTGTCGGGTTTAGATGATGAGGAAGCAGACATAAGTGACCAACGGGCCAGAGACCGTGACACCCAAAAGAAGCAAGCAAACAAGGATTATGTTGACAAAAAGTTCCATGCGAAAGAGCGAGACGTGCAAGAGGGAGACTTGGTTCTGTTGGAGCAGAAGAGACAAAACAAGTTATCGTCATCATATGAGAAGGAACCATATGAGGTGATGACTCGGTACGGGGATCAAGTTGTGTTGTGGTCATCGAACGGAGGGGAGGACAGGAGAAATATGCAGCATATTAAACCTTTCAACATTCCAGATCATGAAAGGGCGGCATCACAGTCAGAGCTCGGAACCCTTCATACAGCAGAGAAGTTGATAACGGATTTGTTGTTGTTCTTGTTGCAGGAAGATGAAAAGTGATTAATGAAAGAAGATGATTTAAGAAAAATAAATAAAAAACGTCGTTTCTCCTAAGAAAACAACTACTCGCACGTCCAAGCTCCTTCCAGAGGCGTCTTCTCCATTTTCGAAACAACCATTTTTTGACTAGATTCTATTTTTTAAAGAGCAGGAGATTTTTAGATAAAACTTCACCTGACAATCATTATCATTAACCTCTCTCATAATGATGGGAAAGGCTTTTCGTTGTGCGTGGTTGTAGAATCTCGTTTTTGACCCTCTTTTACTATTCATTGTAATTATTATTCATTAAAAGTTCATATTTCAGTTTAGTTGTTGCTTTGGTGCATGTATGTTCTTTTTAACCCCATATAACGGTGACGTGGGAGTATATTCACCACCGGTGTTTGGTTTTCCGTAAGCTAAAAATAAATTTCAGTAAAACCTTAATTCATACACCAAGAAGGGTGGCTTCAGAAAAGAGTAAGGCCCGAAGATGATAATTGGTGGTAGAAATGAATAGTCTGTTAAACGTTGTACTTCCTTTAATTACAACAACTGGTCAAACATTTGAGCTCGTTACAAAGCTTTCTTCTCAATTTTTGTAAAACTATGTTTCAATCACTATTGACTTTAATCACATTGAAATGTTGCGAGTTCTTAGGCTCAGTAAACCTTGTAACACACAATTGCTAAACTCCTTTTTTTGTCGGAAATGCTTTTCATTGCGTGTGTTAACTAGAATCTCGTTATTGACCCTCTTTTACCATTCATTGTTATTCTTTAAAACTTCATTTTAAGTTAATCAGTTATAACTTAAGAATCATCTTGTACATGCGTGACCTTGTACTCAAAACTGTGACGTAAAAAGGTTCACACTCTCCATCATCAATAGCACAGCATAAAAGGAAATTAAAGTCTTCGTAAAGTTTTACGACAAGTGATACCCGCGGGACCAAGCCTAGAGAGTACAGTGGCGGATCGAAGGGAAGGGTCAGGGCCATTATTTTTAGACCAAAATGAGGCTCGAAAGGCAGAAAATTTTATTTTAGACCGCCCCCCTATATCAAGGTCTGGAGTACCCCCCCCCCCCCCCTCCCCCCCCCCCCAACGTCCTCGGCCCCCCCACGCCTCCGCTCCCGCCACTCCACTCCACAAAAGAGTGAAACGGGCCGGTTCGAACCACCACACAACAA